ACCTTGTCTCAGAGCCTTACCTTGCCACAGTTCCAGACCCATCCAGGCCATGACTACCGTTTAGATGACACACCTCTCTGCTCACGAATAACTGGCCAAGCCTGAGGTAGCCAGGTTTTGGAGCATTGATAATATGGGCTTTTCCTGTGTTGTCCCTAAACATGTTGTTTCATTTTGTCCCCGTGTCATGGCATTTTTGCAGAACTCCTGCCTTAGAGAATAAGGAGAGACTCTTCCTCTAGCAACCGTAGACACCAGTTGTGCCCTAAACAGGGATGTGAACCTTGGTAGAAGATGGAAATTTTTTTTGGAAAAGGGGATTTTTGGATCAGTGCTTGTGGCTCTGACTCTCTGTCTGAAAGGCAACACCCAAGAAAATGAGGATTTCTGTATCTAGAGCTTGAAGACTAGCCTTCTCCAGTATTTTGCGCTCTTCCTTAAATGATCACACTATAGTCTGAGGTCAATTTTCTTCAAAAAGGAATGACCTTACAGGCAGAGAAGACAGCTATAGGTGGAGACTGTTACCTCATACTGTAGACTCAGATGTGTAGGATAGGCTCAGATCTAGCTGCCCAAGCTCAATTTGGAGGACATGCCATTCTTGGTACTGTTCATTCTGAACTATAGATTTCTTTGTCTACTTCTCTGAGATATCTTTCTGGTTTGTGTTCAGTGCTTAGCACACCAAACCACTGTCCTTCAATTATGATAACAGTGAATCATTTCTGTGCTTACTATATACCACGTAGCTTACTATACAACATGTAACTCATATAAGTTAAGAATGTTTTTTTCATTTTATCATGACAACCACCTTGGGATTTTACATTTTATGCATGATCAAATGATCATTTTATAGATGATCAAATGAGTTTTCTGGAGGTAAAGTGAGGCTTCCACCTCCCAGTGCAGCAGCTACAATCCACAGCCAGCCCTGCCTGCACCTAAGACCTTGACAAAGCAACCAGAGCCAGAAAGAGCCATGAGAGAAGCTTTCAATCACTTCCAGCCACTTTGTCGCCCATTTTTTCTCTTCTCATCTCCTGCATTTTTCTCCATCTCCAGGTACAGTTTGGGATGTGGACGCCTATTCCAATACAAAACCACTTGGAGATCCTTTCCTGATACCCCAATTCATCTCTATTTCCCCCCTTTCAAGTCAGATCTTACCTACCTGTTTGGGTCAGAGACATGTGTATGTTAAAATCCCCGAGGGAGGCGGCAGGGACTGTGCCCTGAGATGATTATTGGTGAAGTGGATTTATGCTTCATTTCAGTTTAAGAGAATGTTGCTGTGTCTCTGCCCAGGACAGACAGCCCACTGTGGCCCTGGGTGATGAGGGAAGCCCACAGAGGCCCAGGGTTTGTGTTCTGTGTCTACCAGTGTCTGCAGAGCCAGAATTGAGCTAATCCCGTGAAAGGACAAGTGCTGATGGGCAGTTGTATGGTCGGTTGCTATGGGGCTTGTTGAGCTCTCAAATTCCAGGTGACAAGATCAATGCATGCTTGAGGGGTCCCATCCCAGCAGGCTCTGGTGGCTGCAAACTGGTTCAGGTGTGGAAGGTCATACCACTTTACCTTTGGTTTTTCTTTGAAAACTAAACAATGAAAGACAGATGAAAACAAGAATTCTACCAGTGGGCAGGCAAGAATTCTCTTCTGGAAAAGGGATGTTTGTGGCTCTTCCCCATGTTGGCCTTGAAAGCACTTGGCTGCAGAATGGCTACTATTAAAATGTCAAAAAATTGGAAGATGCTGGTGAGGCTGCAAAGGAAAGGGAATGCTGATACACTGTTGGCCTGCATGTAAATTAGTTCATGGAAAAATTAACGCAGAAAGCATTTTGGAGATTTCTGAAATAATTTAAAACAAAACTACAATTCCACCCAGCAATTCCTTTAGTGGGCATTTACCCAAAGGAAAATAATTGTTCTGCCAAAAAGACACATGCTCTTGAACATCTTTCACAGCACTATTCACAGTAGCAAAGCCGTGGAATGAACCTAGAGGGCCATCAGCATTAGACTGGATGAAGGAAATGTGGTACATACACACCGTGGAATACTATGCGTCCATGAGAAGAATGAAATCATGTCCTTTGCAGCAACATGGATCTACTTGGAGACCATAATTCTAAGGAAATTAACATAGGAACGGAAAACCAAATATCATGTTTTCAGGTATAAGTGGGAGCTGAGCATTGGGTACACATGGATATAAATATAGGAACCGTAGACACTGCAACTACTGGAGGAAAGAGAGAGGGAGGGTGGAAAGGACTGAAAAACTAACTATTGGGTGTTATGCTCAGTGTCTGCGTGATGAGATCATTTGTACCCTGAAGCTCAGCATCACACAATAAACCCATGTAATGGTCCTGCACATATAGCCCCTGAATCGAAAATAAAAGTTGAAATTATTTTTTCAAAAATGGGCCCTCGGCCAGAAGCAGAGGCTCATGCTTGTAATTCCAGCACTTTCTATCACTTGAGGTCAGGAGTTCAAAACCAGCCTGTCCAGCATGATGAAACCCTGTCTCTACTAAAAATATAAACAACAAAAACAACAAAGAAATTAGCTGGGCATGGTGGCAGGCGCCTGTAACCCCAGCTACTTGGGAGGCTGAATCACTTCATCCTGGAAGTTGGAGGTTGTAGTGAGCAGAGATGATGCCACGGCACTCAAGCCTGGCTGTAGTTCAGCCAGAAGGAGATGTTTTGTGTGAAGGCTGAGGTGGAGCTGTTCGGAGCCTCTGTGAGAAGGAGGCCCTAAGCCATGGCGGTGGACACAGTTGCAGCTTTCTGCTTCTTTGCCCTTTAGTCTGGCCCCACAGGTGAACAATACCAGCCTCAATCCCGAGCACATGCTCTGGAGACCTTCACATCTCACAGTTCCATGTGAGCAAATGGACTGGGAAAGCTGTGTGGCCTGAGAAAAGGCAACCATGGCCTCGCTTTCACATAGTATTTTGTCTTGAATTTTGAATAAGCCTTATTTTATTTTATTTTTTGTTTTGTGTTTTTGGTGGTGGTGGTGGTTTATTTTACACAGACCACTTCGAAGAAATCCCATGGTTATCTGTGATTTACATACCCTGTTTCTGCTGGCAACCCTTCTGATTGGGGTGACTAACTTCTCTGTGTAAAGAGTCTACGTGGCCCAGGTAGGAGGTAAAAGCAGCCGTCTGGAGGCCATTGGTATACTTACGTCTGTCTCTTGGCTTCAGGTAACCAGCTGGGCTTTGGTGGGAATGATCTGAATGGAGACAGAAAACAGTGGAAACTAACACTCCTTGCCCAGCCCTCTTTATATGAAGTGTTTTGTTCTCCCCTTGACTCTTGAGTGATGATTATATTCAGACGAGGCATTGACATTATGGTAAGAAAGGGAAAAAGTGTATCTGTCTTGTCTGTCTGTCTATCTACTGGACATATATCTCCTAAAGCAGACAAACCCAAGGCTGTACAGTGAACTAGGGTCTGGCTTTGGACTCCAGAAAAACAAAATTCATGTTGAACAAAGTGATGTTTCTATGCAATGACTTTCTGGGGGACCTGTGTGTATCTGTCCATTGTGTGTAAGCCCTGAGCCCCGTTTTCCTCTGAAGATAGTGAGTGGTAGCAGTCTCCTCACACGATTCACACATCTGGAGCCCAGATGGCCCTCTCAAGGTAATGGATCTTACATATTTACGGTTTACCAACAAGTGTTTGATGTATACTTGGGTGTATTCCACAGCATGTGGACTGCGGTCCCCTGTGTTTTCCAGGAATGCTGTGCTCCATGTAGAGGCTTTACTCTACTCATCACTGCAATTTGTATGCTGCACTGTGGAAACTTGGAGGCCTGTACTGTGTTCCCTGTGACTGGAAATGTGCTCTGAACTTGTCTGTCTCCCTTGGCTGCTCCTGGCCCTTGGTACCAGCTCCCAGGGGTGTCCACAACCACTTGGGACAGAAGGTGAAGGTGGAATTTCAAAGAGAAGCTTGCTTGGATCTTCTGTGCCAAGCTTGGATGAGTTGTGGCCCTAACATAGGCCCTCTCAGATTTGCCAGGAGGAGGCTTTGGCAGCTGCCACAGGTGCCGCAGGGCCTGCCTCCATCTGCTGCCTCCAGTGGTGCAAGCCTGCCAAGGTGTGGCCAGAGTGGCTGGATGGTGTCACAGTCCTCAGATGTCCTTCCTTCCACCACTTTTAAAGAGTCCCAAATAACTCACTTGAAGTGTCTGAAAGGAAAGCAAGTTTTATGAAAATGAATCCTTCCTCAGTTAATTGATCAAATAGGTAAATCCTGACTCTCTCTAGTTTCTTTCCCTGGTCGGAGTAGGGAGCTGGTGGTAGCTGTGGGATTCACTGTGGTGTCCTATCCCAGAGGCAAAGAAGATTAAAATGCAGCGTGCAGAGCTGGGCTTGATTCCCAAGTCGCAGTCTGGCTCCCGCTATGGGAGGCGGGACATCTCTCTAGCTGCTCACAGAGAGAGAAGTAGGGAATTGAGGAAGAGTTAGGGGCCAGGGAGATTTACTTGAGTCTAATTTTCCAGGTGAATGAGAAGGGAAGGCTTAGTCCAGGGCTTGGTGCCAATGCATTCCTGGGAGAGGCATGTCATCACCAGCGGCATTGGTCATTATTGTATGTTAGCAATAAGATTCAGCTGGTCAGATTTTTTGGGCTGCCTCGAAGATGCTGACACATTTTCTGTGCTGTGATTGTTCTGAAGGCAGAGGAGCTCTAACCACTGTGAGAACCCAAATAAAAATCAATACCCCCCATCTAAGAGCACCTTTCTGAAACTCACGTTTCTGTAGAAAACACTGCCCCCCTTTCTCCCAAGCTTATTAGTTTTGGATTCCATCTCCTTGTATGTGCTAATCTAGTGTAACATGGAACACATTCAGGGAGCTGGGGGCTCTGTTTACCTTTAAGTGGGAAAGTCATGTCTGACCTGAAATTGGAGGATGCTTTCCAGTGTGAAGGAGTGTGAGGGAACAGACACAGGCACAGTGAGAACAAGGTCACTTTATTGGTATAGAGACTGCAGAGGGATCGGGGGCTTTAGCTGTTTGCAGCTATGGTTTCCTTAATCCAGGCCAAATAGTTGTAGACCTTGGTGTAGACTCCAGGCTTGTTCTTCTGGGCACAGCCATCGCCCCAGGAGACAATTCCTTGGAGCTCTCCGTCGCAGACTGCAGGACCACCAGAGTCCCCCTGGGTGGAAGAAAGGATAAGTTGTATGGACAGATGGAGGAGGAATATAGCTATATTGACTCTGAACCTTAAAGATCCCTTTCCAGCCAGCTCTGTGGCTCCACGTCCTTCTCATGGTGGCCCATTCTCTGTTCTTCCTAAGCAGACAGCATGCAGCCCAAGGGAGCCTTCCTCACTTCTCCATGGGGAGAACTTCAGGGAGCCTCCTTAGCCCCACCACCTTGGGAGTTCCAATCTTTTTCTCAGGTGGGGCCTGGGTATCAGTGGGAGCCTCTGTATGGGAAGGGTTGTTCAAATCACCTGGCAGGAATCCTTGCCTCCCTCAAGGAAGCCTATACAGAACATGTTGCTGGTAATCCTTCCAGGGTAGCAGGCTTGACACTCAGCCTGGGTCAGCACAGGAGCATACAGGCACTGCAGCTCATCTGGGTAGTCAGCTGTGAGAATCAGGAAGAGAACAAAGAAAGTAGAAATGTGGGTCAGCCCAGAGAAGGAGACAATAATCTAGGATGGAACATTGAAGAGGAACACTGCCCCTGGAAAGGACTCCAAAACATAAGTCCTGGCAAGGGGCTCTGGCTTTTCAATCCCAGAATGATCATTGTTGAACCCCTTCCAACATGTAATCACAGCACGTTCTCCATTTGTCCTGTCTCTCGATTTTAGGAGCCAAGTCCTTGAGACTTTGCATCCTCTGGTGCCCAGTACAGAACCTGTGTGTAATGGCCACTAGAAATGTGTCTTAAGCCCGGAGGCAAGTGGATTTAAGTTAAGGGGCATGGTTCGTTCTGGAAATTGTGAGGATGGAGGGAAGTAGAAGGACAAAGGGAGCCACGCACCACCATAGCTCAAAGTGTTGCCCCAACCAGAGATGAGGCACTCAGTGCAGGGAACTGGAGGGTGGGTGGGCAGAGGGATGATGGACACGTAGTCATTGATGACGGCAGGTGTGGAGAGCTTGATCAGCATGATGTCATTGTCCAGAGTTGTTGGGTTGTATTCAGGGTGGCAGATGATCTTGTCTGCGCTGATGAACTGCTCAGTCCCCTCAAGGACATTGATGTTGTGCTCTCCCAGTATCACCTGGATGCGGCTGATGGGCATGGCAGGCATGGTGAAGATCCTCTCTCACAGCTGGGTTACCCATCCCACCTTCCCCAGGGTTCTCAAGCTCTCTGCTCATGGACAGCTCTGGAGTCATAGGGTGGGGTGTGTGGCCATATCGCAGGGACAGAAGAGGGATGTGGGTCAGTGCAGGTGTGAGACCCAGGATCTTTCTGCTTCAGAGGTTGGTGTTAGTGGGGTGGGGCAGAGTCAAAGGGATCCCAGTGGAGGCTGCTTCTCAGTCCACCTTCACAGCCTCTTTCCCAGAATCTCCACAGTCACTAGCACTGTGGGCACAAGGAGATCCTTGAAGATTTCCCAGTATCCTCCATCCCAGGCCTTTGTTAACTGTGCATAGTGCCTGTTCCTCCCTCCTTTCTTGGCCTGGTGAGCACCATACTTCTGTGTAATCTAATCCAAAGGTAGCCATAGTATTAGAATCTCCTGGGAACTTGTTAGAAATGTAAATTCTTGGTCCTACCCCTGTCTATTGATCAGAACCTTGGGTATGGGACCCAGTGATTTGTGCCTTAACGAGCCTATAGGTTTTTCTGATGCATACTCAGGTTTGAGAGTTCCTGGTGTAGGCAGCAGTTCTGAGTTCTGTCTACACATTCTACAGTTACCAGAGGTAGAGTGTGAAATGCTTACTGATATTCACACCCTCTTCCTGAAAATTTTGAGTTAATTGCCCTGGGATAGGACACAGGCATCAGTATTTTTAAAAACTCTTTCTTAGGTGGCTTTAATGTGTAGCTAACCAGCAAAAGTACTTGCCTGCTTTTCTCACTAGCTCAGTCCACTCCAAGATCATCCCTGCCTGGTTTTATGACCACAACCCTTGCTGTTTCATGGATTTGCCTGGGTGTGGGAGGTTCTTGTCTTGTGTTCACTCTCTGCTCTGGAGAGTCAGCTGCTGCCAACAAGTTTTCTTCTCCACCATCTCTCCCCTCCATCTTACCAAACCTCAGTACTTCCCTGGGCTGAAGCCAAGCTCTCCCAGGCAGCCTGGGTTGGATTTTTGCATTCAGGGGCCCCACACTTACGGCTTGTAGCAGTGACAGGCTGAAATTACCCATTGTTCACAGATGAGGGCGCCACCACAGAAGTGGTAGCCAGAATACAGGAACACCTGGTAGGGGACAGAATTCTCCTTACAGGTGTAGCCCCCAACAATCTTGTCATCATCGTCAATGGGGACAGCAACTGGAGTGGAGACGGGAAGGGAGAAGGCAAGTCAGTAGCATGTTGGGGGTGGTGCTCCCAGCCTGCAGTTGCTTCCTGCGAATTAGAAATCTTTAAGAAGCACAGTGAGGCTACGCAAGGGAGGGAGCACTGCCACCCCGGTGAGCATCACTGGATGTGGTTCCCAAGTCTCTGTGTCTGCAGGGCACATAGCTAGGTATCCAGTGGGGGCTCAGATCTCTCCTGGGGTCACCAGGCTGAGGATGCAAGGAATGTCCTCACAATGCTTCCAGTGGGATAGGAGTTGGGATGGGGTTGTCTCACCCACTGAATGCTTCTCTCTTTCATTCACCACCTGCGTACTCCACCTGGCTGTTTAAGCCCTGGATGGTCAGGATACTTTGGCCAAGCTAAGAAAACCCCCTGGCTGTGTAGACCTGGCCATGACCAGCTTCCCCCTCAGCTCAGATCTGTGTAGTGAAGGCAGAGTTGAGGGCAGCCCCAGGCTCACTTCAGCAGAACAAAGGTAGATGTTATTATTGTCCAAAAGAACAGCAATTCTCAACCTTGGCTGCATGTCTAGAAATGTTAAAAAATCACCTGGGAAGCTTAAAAGCCCAGAACACAGGCAGCACCCCAGACAAATGAAGTGAGAATTTCTAGAGTTGAGTCTCTGGTATGAGTAATTTTTCCACCTCCCCAGGTGCATTCAAGGTTAAGAGCAGCTATAGCAGAGGTATTCTGGTGCTGTGGGAGCCAAGCCTGAAGCCCGCTGCTTTATTTCGTGGGCCAGCCTCACCTGGTCTCCCTTCCCAGCATCTCCAACCACAGCTCGGATATGGATGAATTGCAGTGGTGGGAGTGAAATCAGGGAGAAGATGAAAGAGGTGAGGCTTAAAGAGAGCCCAGGGAGGATGGGAAGCCCAGATGAAGGAAATAGAATATCAGAGCACAGTCAAAAGAGGAGAAGTAGCAAGAATGGCAGGGCATGTGTCTGCCAGGAAAGGGATGGGTGGGGCCTGAGGCAGGGCATGAAACTCACCAGCAGCTCCCACAAAGGCAAGGATCAGGAGTGGATTCATGGTGGTAGAGTGTCCCTGACTGGTGGTGGAGGACCCATCTTTATACCTCCCAAGGATGGGGAGAGGAGGTGTCTGTGAGGTGAAGGTCACCACTCCTCCCAGGACAAACACACCTGCAGCTTTCCCCTTCCCAGGGTCTTGCATCAGCTCGGCTATGTTTGGCCACTCTGTGGGCTTGTGATTCACAGGTGATAAGGGAACTTGGCTTCTGAGAGCAGAGAGGAAGACTGGCTGTTTCCTGCAAGGATGCTGGGATGGGAAAGACAGGGAAAGATAAGACCCGCATCACACAGCTGGGCTTTCATAGGCCGAGGAGATGAGGGTTAGAGGGAGGGAGAATGGCCTGACTGTTTAGGAATCTTTTTAACTATTGTGGATGTATTTAATGTACTTAAGGAAGGGCAAGTGTTGGTAACAAGCTTGGCTTTTCAGTGTCCTGGAGCCCCCATGAGAGGAGCAAAGTCATATCTAAGGCTCGTTCCTATGAATATGAAGACGCTTCTCTCCAGTCAGCATGTGGCACGGTTAAATCTAAGGCTTTGGGGAATAAGAAATCCAAATTAAGGGGTAAGGAGAAGGGAAATGCAGCAATCCACAGGATTCTGGGCTTCCAGATGGCTCTCCTTCCTACCAAGGATTAAGGATGGGAAGTGTTTCAAAGGAGGGGGCACAGGTTAGGTAGGAGCTTACTCAGTGCATCTGGAGGATGGAAAACCAATGGCGCACTCCTCCCCTTCTTCAATGTGAAGACATTTGTTTCCCTCATGTGCATCTTATCATAGGTTCTTTTTATGCAGCCTCAAGGATGCCCTGGCAACTGGCACTCAGGGTGATGTAAACTGACCCACTTGCTCAGGGCTGACAGCCTGAACTAGCATGATATGCCCCCGATCAGATGTCAGAGTGTGGACCATGGTAAATCTGGGATACGATCTGATCTGAGATTTTAGCACATGGTAAATGGGTCGCATATTGGGTTCAATAACGAAGATGTGGAGGGGTGGGTCTGGAATTTTCTATTTTAGATGCAGTGAGATTATGCTGTGTTCAGTACAAAGTGAATCTTCCCAGATAATATCCTGATTTGCGCCCTACCAATGCTACTGAAATACAGTTGTGTAATTGACTGAGGCATAACCTGGCCAGAGCAGTGTGGAGATGGAGATGTTGTCTGCGCTCAGGTCTAGTGATGTAAAGAAAGGAGGAGCTTCCTTATGAGGAACTCTGAGTTCAGGCTGGTGATGGGTAGGAGTGAGCAGAGTTCAAGTTTGAATTCTTTGAAAGGTAAAAGAAGCAGCAATGTTCTGAAGATGGTGAACAAAATGAGCAAAGCTCAGAAACTTGGTGGTGAAATTGGACATGGCCAGGGGCTAGAGGGAGAAAGCAAATGGAAACCAGAGGGAATTGGAAAAAATGCCAGAGTGGGGCCCAAGGAGTTGAGAGGACACACAGACTACCTTCTGGCCCAATTCCTGGCATGGCTGCCAAGTCAGCTTCCCCACAGCCAGGAGACCTACTGCTTGGAGACACCCTCACCACCCCGTACCTCCTCTAATCACTGTTGGGCTCAAACCTAACACTGCTGTACTTAGATGGTGTATGCTGCCTGACAGATTTATACGAATTTTTATGTACGCAAGAGTGGTGCATAGCTCTTCATTTATGCTGAGTTTCACAGTTTAACTTCCCACAAACATGCTAATTGTGATTTGTGCAGAACAAAATTATTTCCATTTGTAGAGGAAGACAATGAGATTCAGAAGGATTCTGTCTTGCCCAAGAATACAGATCTTGGCAGAGCTGACCATAAGGCCAACGGAAGCCATGGAGAGTGCTGTGAAGTATGGGAATTGCTGCAGGTGGCATCTAAAAGGAGATTTATTGAGGATCAAAGCAGAGGTACCCAGAGGACAAACTGTACATCTGATTCCTTCCTGGTGCTTTTTTTCCTGGCAGAAATAGATGATTCAATTCATCTTTCTCCTGACACCTTGTCTCAGAGCCTTACCTTGCCACAGTTCCAGACCCATCCAGGCCATGACTGCCATGTAGATGACACACTTCTCTGCTCACGAATAACTGGTCAAGCCTGACGTATCCAGGTTTTGGGGCATTGATAATATGGGTTTTTCCTGTGTTGTCCCTAAACATGTTTCATTTTGCCCCCTTGTCATGGGGTCTTCGCAGAACTCCTGCCTTGGAGGATAAGGAGAGACTCTTGCTGTAGCAACTGTAGAAACCAGTGTGCACTAAACAGGGAGGTGAACCTTAGTAGTAGGTGGAAAATCTTTTGGAAAAGGGGATTTTTGGATCTGTGCTTGTGACTCTGACTCTCTGTCTGAAAGGGAACACCCAAGAATATGAGGATTTTCTGTATCTAGAGCTTGAAGACCAGCCTTCTCCAGTATTTTGCGCTCTTCCTTAAATGATCACACTATAGTCTGAGGTCAGCTTTGTTGAAAAATGAATGACCTTATAGACAGCAAAGACAGCTATAGGTGGAGACTGTTACTTCATACCGTAGACTCACATGTGTAGGACAGGTTCAGATCCAGCTGCCCGAGCTCAATTTGGAGGACATGCCATTCTTGCTACTGTTCATTCTGAACTACAGTTTTCTTTGTCTACTTCTCTAAGACATCTTTCTGGCTTGTATTTAGTGCTTAGCACACCAAACCACTGTCCTTCAATTATGATAACACTGAATCATTTTTGTGTGCTTACTATATAGCATGTACCTTACTATACAGCATGTAACTCATACATGTTAAGAATGTATTTTTCATTTTATCATCACAACCAACTATGGGATTCCCCATTTTACATATGATCAAATGAGCTTTCTGGAGGTGAATGGCTCTCCCATTTCCCAGAGCAGCAGCTCCCAGCCAGAGCTGACCCTGCCTTCACCTATGATCTCAGCAAAGCAGCCAGAGCTGGAAAGAACCACAAGAGATGCTTTCAATGACTTTTAGCCACTTTGTCCCCCTTTTTTTCTCTCCTTCTCTCCTGCCTTTTTTTCCATCTCCAGGTACAATTCGGGATGTGGATGCCATTCCTACATAAAAACACTTGGGATTCATTCCTGATACCCCAATTCATCCCGATTTCCCCCCTTTTAAAGTCAGATCTCACCTACCTGTTTGGTCAGAGAGAGGTGTGTTTTAAAATCCCTGAGGATGTCGGCAGGGAGTGTGCCCTCAGATGATTATTAGTGAAGTGGATTTAAGCTTATTTTCAGTTTAATAGAATGTTGCTGTGTCTCTGCCTAGGACAGGCAGCCCATTGTGGCCCTGGGTGATGAGGGAAGCCCACAGAGGCCCAGGATTTGTCACCTATGGCTGCCAGTGTCTGCAGAGCCAGAATTGAGCTAATTCTGTGAAAGGATGAGTGCTGATGGGCAGGTGTATGGTCGGTTGCTATGGGTCTTCTTGATCTCTCAAATTCCAGGTGACAAGATCAATGCATGCTTGACGGGCCCCTTCCCAACAGGCTCTGGTGGCTGCAACCTGGTTCAGGTGTGGAAGATCATACCACTTTACCTTTGATTTTTCTTTGACAAACAACAAAAGACAGATAAAAACAAGCATTCTACCAGTGGGCAGGCAAGAATTCTCTTCTGGAAAAGGGATGTTTGTGGCTCTTCCTCCGTTGGGCTTGAAAGAACTTGGCTGGAGAGTGGCTATTATTAAAATGTCAAAAAAAAAAAAAAGAAAAAAGGAAGATGCTGGTGAGGCTACAGAGGAAAGGGAATGCTGATACACTGTTGGCCAGAGTGTAAATTAGTTCATGGAAAAAGTAATGCAGAAAGCAGTTTGGAGATTTCTGAAATAATTTAAAACAGAACTACGATTCCACCCAGCAACTCCTTTACTGGACATTTACCCAAAGGAAAATAATTGTTCTGCGAAAAAGACAGATGTTCTTGCATGTCTGTCACAGCACTATTCATGGTAGCAAAGCCATGGAATCAACCTAGGTGGCCATCAGAGGTAGATTGGATGAAGGAAATGTGGTACATATACACCATGGAATACTATACAGCCATGAGAAGAATGAAATCATGTCCTTTGCAGAAACATGGATAGAGCTGGAGACCATAATCCTAAGCAAATTAACATAGGAACAGAAAACCGAGTATCACATTCTCATGTATAAGTGGGAGCTGAGCATTGGGTAAACATGGATATAAATATGGGAACAGTAGACACTGCAACTACTAGAGGGAAGAGAGAAGGAGGGTGAAAAACTACCTATTGGGTATAAGCTCACTGCCTGAGTGATGAGATCATTTGTGCCCCAAACCTCAGTATTACACAATATACCCATGTAACAAACCTGTACATGTACCCCCTGAATCTAAAATAAAAATTGAAATTATTTTTTTTAAACGGAACCTGCACCAGAAGTGGTAGCTCACACCTGTACCCAGCACTTTGGATTACTTGAGGTCAGGAGTTCAAAACCAGACTGGCCAACATGGTGAAACCCTATCTCTACTAACAACACACACACAAAAAAAATTAGCTGGGAATAGTGGTGTGTGCCTGTAATCCCAGCTGTTTGGGAGGCTGAATCACTTGAACCCGGGAGGTGGAGGTTGTAGTGAGCAGAGATCATGCCACGGCACTCCAGCCTGGATGTAGTTGAGCCAGAAGGAGATGTTTTGTGTGAAGGCTGAGGTGGGGGCTCTTCGGAGCACCAGTGTGAAGGAGGCCCTAAGTCACAGTGGTGGACAGAGTTGCAGCTTTCTGCCTCTTTGCCCTTTTGTCTGGACCCACAGGTGAACAGTACTAGCCTCGATCCCGAGCACACGCTCTGCAGACCTTCAAATCTCATGGTTGAGTGTGAGCAAATGGACTGGGCAAGCTGTGTGGCCTGAGAAAAGGCAACTCCATGGCCTGGATCTCACACAGTATTTTGTCTTGGATTTTGAATAAGCATTTATTTGCTTTACCATGGAACACATTTTGGGAGCTGGGGGCTCTGCTTACCTTTAAGGGGGACTGTCGTGTCTGACCTTAGATTGGAGGATGCTTTCCAGTGTGAAAGAGTGTGAGGGAGCAGGTACAGACACAGACAGTGAGAGCAGGGTCACTTTACTGGTATAGAGACTGCAGAGTGACTGGGGGCTTTAGCTGTTGGCAGCTATGATGTCCTTAATCCAGGCCAAATAGTTGTAGACTTTGGTGTAGACTACAGGCCTGTTCTTCTGGGCACAGGCATCACCCCAGGAGACAATTCCTTGGAGCTGTCTGTTCCAGACCACAGGGCCACCAGAGTCACCCTGGGGGAAAGAAGGGACAAGTTGTATGGAGAGATGGAGGAAGAATATAGCTACATTTACTCTGAACCTTAAAAGACCCCTTTCCAGCCAGCTCTGTGGCTCCACATCCTTTTCACGGTGGCCCATTCTCTGTTCTTCCTAAGCAGACAGCGTGCAGACCAATGGAGCCTTCCTTACTTCTCCATGGGCTCACTGCAGGGAACCTCCTCAGCCCTGCCACCTTGGCAGTTCAAATCTTTTTCCCAGTTAGGTCTTGGGTATCAGTGGGAGCCTCAGCATGGGAAGGGTTGTTCAAATCATCTGGCAGGAATCGCTGCCTCCCTCAAGGAAGCTCACACAGAATGTGTTACTGGTAATCTCCCCAGGGTAGGAGGCTTCACACTCAGCCTGGGTCAGCACAGGAGCATCCAGGCACTGAACCTCGTCTGGGTAGTCAGCTGTGAGGATCAGGAAGAGATCAAAGAAAGCAGAAATGTGGGTCAGGTCAGAGAAGGAGCCAATAATCTAGGATGGAACACTGAAGAGGAACACTGCCCTGGACAGGACTCCAAAACATAAGTCCTGGCAAGGGACTCTGGCTTTTACTTCCCAAAATGATCATTTTTGAACCCCTTCCAAGACATGTTCATAGGAAGTTCTCCAATTGTCCTGTCTCTTGATTGTCTAAGCAAAATCCTTGAGACTTTGCATGTCTCTGGTGCCCAGTGCAGAGCCTGTGTGTAATGGGCACTAGAAATGTGTCTTAAGCCTGGAGGCTAGAGGTTTTAAGTTAAGGGGCATCGTTTTTTTCTGGAAATTGTGAGGATGGAGGGAAGTAGAAGGGCAAAGGGTCTCACTCACCGCCAGAGCTCAGAGTGTTTCCCCAGCCGGAAATGAGGCACTCGGCGCCAGCAGCTGGAGGGGCGGTGGGCAGAGTGATGTTGGACACGCGGGCATTGATGATGGCAGGTGAGGAGAGCTTGATCAGCATGATGTCATTGTTCCAATCTTCCTGTTGTATTTGGGGTGGTGGATGATCTTGGCTGCATTGATGAACTGCTCTTTCCCCTCCAGGACTTCGATGTTGTGTTCTCCCAGTCTCACCTGGATGTGGCCGATGGGCAGGGCAGGCGTGGTGAAGACCTTCTCCCACAGCTGGGTCACCCTTCCCACTTTCCCCAGGGTACTTAAGCTCCCTCCTCATAGACAGCTCTGGAGCACGTGGTGGGGTGTGTGGCCATATCCCATGGGCAGGAGAGGGACGTGGATCAGTGCATGTGTGAGACCCAGGACCTTTCTGCTTCAGAGGTTGGTGGTAGTTGGGTGGGGAAGAGTCAAAGGGATGCCACCAGAGGCTGCTTCTCAACCCGCCTTCCCAGCCTCTTTCCCACAATCTCCACAGTCACTAGCACTGTGGGCACAAGGAGCTCCTTGAAGATTTCCCAGCATTCTTCACCCCAAGTCTTTGCTAACTGTACACAGTGCCTGTTCCTTCCTCCCTTCTTGGCCTGGTGAGCACCACCATTCTGTGCAATCTAATCCAGGGACAGCCATAGCATTAGCTTCTTCAGGGAACTTGTTAGAAGTGAAATTTCTTGGCCCTTACCACCATCTACTGATCAGAACCTTGGGGATGGGACCCAGTGATTTGTGCCTTAACAAGCCTGCAGGTTCTTCTGATGCATACTCAGGTTTGAGAGTTCTTGGTGTAGGCAGCGGTCTCAGCTCTGTCTATGCACTGTAAAGTTAACAGAGGTAGAAAGTTAAATATTCACTGATATTCACACCCTCTTCCTGAAAATTTTGAGTTAATTGCTATGAGATAGGACATAGGCATCAGTATTTTAAACAAACTCTTTCTTAGGTGGCTTTAATGTGTAGCTAACCAACAAAAGGTACTTGCCTGCTTTTCTCACTAGCTCTGAGCACCCAAGATCATCCCTGCCTGCTTTTATGACCACAACCCTTGCTGTTTCATGGATTTACCTTGGTGTGAGAGGTTCCTGTCTTGTGTTCACTGTCTGCTCTGGAGAATCAGCTGCTGCCAACAAGTTTTCTTCTCCACCACCTCTCTCATCCATCTTACCCAACCTCAGTAGTTCCCTGGGCTGAAGCCAAGCTCTCCCAGGCAGCCTGGCTGGGAGCTTTGCAGTCAGGGGCCCTACACTTACGGCTTGTAGCAGTGAGCTGCCGACACCACCCACTGTTCACTGATGTGGGAGCCACACAGAAATGGGAGCCAGAATTCAGGGACACTTGGTAGGGGAGAGAATTCTTCTTCCAGGTGTAGTCCCCAACGATCTTGTCATCATCATCAAAGGGGGCAGCAACTGGAGTGGAGACGGGAAGGGAGAAGGCACCTCAGTAGCATGTTAGGGGTCGTGCTCCCGGCCTATGGTTACTTCCTGCTAATTAGAAATCCTTAAGAAGCACAGTGAGGCTAGGAAGGGAGGGAGCGCTGGCACACCTGGTGAGTATCACTGGATGTGGCTCCCAAGTCTCTGTCTACAGGGCATGTAGCTAGGAACCCTGCAGGGGTTCAGATCTCTCCTGGGGTCACCAGGCTGAAGTCACAATGAATGTCCTCACAATGCTTCCAGTGGGATAGGTGTTGGGATGTGGTTGCCTCACCGACTTAGTGCTTCTCTTTTTTATTCATCACCTGTGTACTTCTCCTGGCTTTTTGAGCCCTGGATTGTCAGGAGACTTTGGCTAAACTAGGAAAACCCCCTGGCTGCATAGAGCTGTCCATGCCCAGTTTCCCCTATAGCTCAATTCTGTGTAGCCAGGGCAGAGTTGAGGGCAGCCCCCAGGCTCACTTTGGCAGAACAGGGGTAGATGTTGTTATTGGCCAATAGTACAGCAATTCTTAACCTTGACTGCATGCCCGGAAATATTACAAATCTCCTGGGAAGCTTAAAAACCCAGAACATAGGCCACACCCCAGACAAATGAAGTTAGAATTTCTAGAGCTGAGTCTCTGGCATGAGTAATTTTTTAACCTCCCCAGGTGCATTCGAGGTTTAGAGCAGCTATAGTGGTGCTACTCTGGTGCTGTCGAAGCCCAGCCTGAAGCCTGCTGCTTCATTCCGTGGGCCAGCCCCACATGACCTCTGCAGTAGGCAGAGATTTTAGCACATGTTAAATGGGTCATATATTGGGTTCAGTAATGGAGATTTGGAGGAGTGGGTCTAGAATTTTCTGTCTTAGATGCAGTGAGATTATGTTGGGCTCAGTACAAAGTGAATCTCTGCAGAGAATATCCTGATTGGGGCCTTACCAAGGCTACTAAGACACAGTTGTGTAATTGACTGAGGCACAACGTGGCCAGAGCAGTGTGGAGATGGGGATGCTGTCTCCGCTCAAGTCTAATGATGTAAGGAAAGAAGTAGCTTCCTTATGAGGGTGCTTTCCCTTCTTAGCAACTCAGAGCTCAGGTTGGTGATAGGTAGGAGTGAGCAGAGTTCAAGCTTGAAATCTTTGAATGGTAAAAGAACCAGGGATGTTCTGGAGATAGTGAACAAAATGATAAAAGACCGGAAACTTGGTGGTGAAATTGGATATGGCTGGGGGTAGAGGGAGGAAGCAAATGGAAACTAGAGAGAATTGGAAAAAATGTCAAAGTGGGGCCTGTGGAGTTGAGAGGACACACAGAGTACCTTCGGGTTCAGCTCCTGCCATGGCCGCCGAGCCAGAAAGAACCAAGCTTTCAGTGACTTTCAGCCACTTTGTTGCCCATTTTTTCTCTTCTGCTGCATTTTTCTTTTTTCTTTTCTTTTTTTTTTTTTTTTTGAGACAGAGTCTCGCTCTGTCGCCCAGGCTGGAGTGCAGTGGCTGGATCTCAGCTCACTGCAAGCTCTGCCTCCCAGGTTCACGCCATTCTCCTGCCTCAGCCTCCTGAGTAGCTGGGACTACAGGCACCCGCCACCTCGCCCGGCTAGTTTTTTGTATTTTTTAGTAGAGACGGGGTTTCACTGTGTTAGCCTGCAGGGGCCTTTGAAAACAGTATGCTGAGAATAGATAGGGCTCAAGGACAGTATCTCCAATTGAACTTTTAATGAACTCCCGTAGGCGCCAAGAAGGCGGGCAGATAAGGAAGAGCATAGAAACAAGGAACTGAGTAGGAGGTTACATGTGGGAATGCATTGCATTCTTTCTGCTGACGTGGGGTTTATGGAGTATAAATAAAGTGAGGCGGAGGCTCTGAGCGCGGCCGCCATGTTCTCTGTGTGTCTTTGTCTTTTGTGTGTTCTTTCATTCTCCACCACCCCCGGCACGGACCCCAACATTAGCCAGGATGGTCTTGATCTCCTGACCTCGTGATCCGCCCGTCTCGGCCTCCCAAAGTGCTGGGATTACAGGCTTGAGCCACTGCGCCCGGCCCCTGCTGCATTTTTCTCCATCTCCAGGTACAGTTCGGGATGTGGATGCCTGTTCCCACACAAAAACACTTGGGATTCATTCCTGATACCCCAATTCATCCCGATTTTCCTCCATTTAAAGTCAGACTCACCTACATGTTTGGTCAGAGATATGTGTGTTTTAAAAATCCCTGAGGAAGGAGGCAGGGACTGTGCCCTCAGATGATTATTGGTGAAGTGGATTTATGCTTAATTTCAGTTTGAGAGAATGTTGCTGTGTCTCTGCCTAGGACAGGCAGCCCATTGTGGCCCTGGGTGACAAGGGAAGTCCACAGAGGCCCAGTGTTTGTCACCTGTGGCTACCAGTGTCTGCAGAGCCAGAATTGAGCTACTCCCTTGAAAGGATGAGCGCTGATGGGCAGTTGTATGCCAAGTTGCTATGGGGCTTGTTGATCTCTCAAATTCCAGGTGACAAGATCAATCCATCCTTCAGGGGCTCCTTCCAGCAGACTCTGGCAGTTACAAACTGGTTCAGGTGTGGAAGATCATACCACTTTACCTTTGGTTTTTCTTTGTAAAACAAATAATGAAAGACAGATGAAAACAAGAATTCTACCACTGGGCAGGCAAGAATTCTCTTCTGGAAAACAGAAATTTGT